AATATTGTTAGATTAGGTAGCAATTAAAAAATATTGGAAAAAATTAGATACCTGACTAGATGCAAAGTAGGCCATTATTGAAATACATTTTTTTTCAAAGGATTGAATAGTTAACATTTTATATTTATTTGTATAAATTATTATTCAAATTAATTTTTTACAATTGTTCGAATAAAAATATATTTTTAAGATAATACGGTATTTCTAAGCCACTCCCACCCTAGGATCTCCACCTATTATCACTAATTTAGTATTATAAAATGTGCTATTCTCTGCAGGACCACAAGAAAAACAACAATTAACTACTCAGCATACATTGAACACAGCCCGTATAACTTACATTTAAGTGTATAACCTAGCTACCTCATTCCCCTGATGCTTGTATCATGTTGCCTGCATCTACCCGTTCGTAAGCACTATATAGCTGCTGCTTTATTGTTATCCTGTATAAATAAAATTACATTAAATAATTAATTTAGCATCATAAAATACTAATTTAAATTTCACCTGCTTAAAAATTAACAATAACAATAGGGTGGTTATTTTTCGAAAAATGAAATTAGTATCACCTTAGATATAATTCCTTAGTATAATTAAAAACCATAATTTTATAATTATTTAGATTTTAAATACAATTAAGAATTATCCTAAGGCGATACTAATTTCATTTTTTTGAAAAATAATCACCCCATTGTTATTGTTAATTTTTAAGCAAGTGATATTTAAATTAGTATTTTATGATGCTAAATTAATTATTTAATGWAATTTTATTTAAACAGGATTACAATAAAACAGCAGCTATATAGAGCTCACGAACGGGTAGATGGCAACATAATATATGCRTCAGGGAAATGAGGTAGCTAGGTTATACACTTAAACGTAGGTTATACGGAATGTGTTCACTATATGCTGAGTAGTTAGTTGTTTTTCTTGTAGTCCTGCAGAGAATAACATATTGTACACATTACATTGGATAGGCGGTGATCCTAAGGTGGGGATGGCTTAGAAATACCTTATTATCTTAAAAATATCTTTTTATTCGAACAATTGTAAAAAATTAATTTGAATAATATGTAATTTATACAAATAAAAAATATAAATTGTTAACTATTCAATCCTTTGAAAAATATTGTATTTCAATAATGGCCTACTCTGCATGTAGGTATCTAATTTTTTCCAATATTTTTTATTTGCTACCTAATCTAACAATATTATWTATAAAAAAACATAACAGTTAAGTTTCAAGTTATGAAGCATTTAAAACACATTAACACTACAAAGTGTAATGGATTGATAAAATTAAGTTAAAAATGGTTATTTGATTTTATTATTATTTTTTTTTTTTTATGTTTGAGAGTATTTTAACTATTATGATAATGAGAATTTTCCATTATTTTTTTAAGTGATTAAATGTAAAAATTAGATTTTTGGAGAGGTAGGGACAAAAMCCCCTGGAGTCTGTTTGGTACCAAATATTTGAGCCCCATTCAAAATTGCACATGATCTCTCCCAATGGTGATGAGTCTATTGATTATTATTTATTTACTTTAATAAACTATAATTCACCTCCATTGCTTTTATGAGTGGTATGACAGATATTCCATCTTTTTTATATTTAGTTATCATATTTTTACCGTAGGCCATAAGTTCCTCGTCCTGCTGTCGCCATAGTTTTAATTGAGCATTATATTCTTCAATATCTACTCGTTTGTTAGCTCTAGTAGCTGCTATATTGTTATCCTAAATAAATAAAATCACATTAAATATTTAATTAATTTAGTATCATAAAATATTAATTCAAATTTATTATATTATGTATTAATTACTCGTTGTTTGTTGAGATTCTCTCTAAAGCGGTTGATTTCTCTGGTCTTTGCCTGATTACGTGAAGTTTCGAGCTTGCGTAACATCTCAGTCTCTCTTAGGTTCCTTTCCATTTCCCACTGATAACTCAGTGTCAAACGTTCCTTTTCCTTTCTATTTTCTTCATCCAAAATTTTCTTATTTTTCTCGAAATCTTCTTTTCTCTTTTTCATCCATACATTTTTTTTAAGTTCTTCTTCTTGATATCTATAAACAATAATTTATTTCATTGATTGAAAAAAAAAATACCTAAACAAATCTAACGAACATACGAACTTTTTCTCTTTTTCTTTAATTGCGTTCTGAAATGCAATGTCTTCTTTATCTTGATTAGTGTTTGTAATTGGTTTAACCACTTTTTTTGATAATAATTGTTTCTCTTTTAAAATCTACAACCAAACTTTTAATTATAAAAAAAATCTGTAACATACATGTTGCATACACATAATTTACATAGGTACTTATTATACTTCAAGTTATTTACAGTAGTACCTCGACTATATAATTTTATCACATTAAGGAATTAAAATGGCAATGTAAGGGGCATTTTATACAAAGATTTATAAAATACATTTGTCGTTTGTAATTTGTATTATTATTGATATTAGTAATGCACGAGCCATGATTGAATATATTAACTTATATATAATATGTATGATGTTTATAATATTAGATGTATAAGTACTTCTATTTCTTTCAGTTTTCTTTTTTTAGCCATTTCTTTTTTTACTTCAGCCATTATCGATGTCAATACATTTTCTTTTTCATCTTCTAATTGACGCCGCTTAATGTTTTCAGCCATGATTTTTCTACTTTCACTTATGTGGTTTATTAAATTCTCTCTCGTTGCTAGAGTCTTAAACATAATTTAAATACTATATAAATAAGCATTGTGATAAAGTATGATATAACAAATTAAACAATCTATTAACTTTAGCATTTTTATTCTTTATATCTTCCGCTATTTCATTTGCGATTCTTTGTAATTCAGCTTTACCTTCTTCTCTTAATTTAACATCATTGTCACTCTTTATAGTCTCTCGTTCTTTCAATCTTGTAACACCATAATAATTATTTATAATATAATAATATATAGCATATTATATTATATTGAATTTATTATTTACTTAATTTATAGTTTAAAAATATATTATATATTTATACTATCTATAAGTACCAAATACTAAATAGTTATTAAACATTTGTATTTGTTTAAAACGCTATTATCATAATAAAAACTATCATATTTAAAAAATTTTTTATATTTTCTCTAAATTTCAAATATCTCAGCATTATTTTTGATAAAATACTAACTTGAGCCTCTATCTTAAACTAAAAAGAAAACCTTAAATATAGCCTGCATCTATTTCGTTTGATTTTAAAATCTAAACTCCCAATACAATTTACATAACTTATATAACATGATTGGTATTTAACAAAATATAATTAAGAGGAAAAAATTGAACCGAAACCAAGCAATTCCAAAATGGAAGACTAAAAATAAGAAATATTTATTTGAAAATAAATACATTTAAGAAACAATTTCTAATAAACGAAAAAAAAAGTATATTATGTATAAATCTCTCTTGCTACCAATATGGGCATAATATGCAATCCAAATCTGGGGCTGTGCTAAGCCGCCCCAAATTCGTACCATACAAGCATTCCGGTACATTACTCTTCGTATGATAACGTCTGCACCCTGGTTTGTATCCAACTATAACTCCACACTACACTCTGATCTAAAAATTTAGTCAGTCGACCAATTAGCCACAAAAAACTACAGATCTTTCTATTCCAAATCCAAACTACCTTCCAATACTAACTTATTAGTGTCACAAATCTTATTAAATACTCAACTTATAAATCCCATCCATAGGCTCAACTGCTCAAGAGAAAATATTGTAGAGATTTGGTAATCTAAAATAATTTCATTTGGGTTCTAGCACTAGTTGGCCTCCCTCCTCATATTATTCATATTAAATACTGTACATAAATTATCAAATTTACTTATTGTGCTGTCAAACACAGATTGTAAATATATTATTCAAATAAAAAAAAATTGAATATAAGAGTATAAAAATTATACTATACTAATAATAATTTTAGTACTCTATATAACTTTAAAAAAAAAACTGCTAGTAAATTAATAATTATAATTAGGTATAATTATTTTAATATATTGTTAATTGTTTTAATTAGTAAAAATTAAATTTTTTTTAGATTTTTTTATATCTCACTCATTTAGTAACACAGCAGCATAAGCTTTTTTTGTTTCAGCTTGTTTCAATTTTTGTTCCCACCGATCTGCCTTGTACCGTTCAGCATCTAAATTTTGTTCTATTTTTAACAAACAATCTGCTTCCAATTCCTTTGCTTTCTGCGCCTCATTGAATTTAATTTGCATAGATCTCTCTCTGAACACCTATAATAATGAGACCCGACCATCATAAGTATATACTTATACTATAATACTATATACATATAGGTTAGGTTAGGTGAAGTTACTAAAGGGAAACGTTGGTCAGACAACCAGAGACAAATTAATGTAAGACAACTTTTCACTATTAGGTTTAGATTGTTTAGAATTTAGCAATATTTAAAAACTAATAATAATTAGGGATACATCGATTCCGCCATTATATAGCATCGATTCTACCACTCACTAATTTTACCTCAACCTGCTACTTGCGTGCTGCTATCGACCTATTGCTGTTATAATAATAATCTACAAAATAATTCAACGATTCATTTAAATATTAAAAATAAATTAATAATTAATATAATAATTAATACAATACAAATATAAATTAATATAACAGTTAAATAAATAAAATAAATACACAATACAATATTAGGTACTGGTCTAGTTGACCCCCGCCAGGAAGGCAATTCCCCAGCCACACAAGTTTAGTTGACGCCCGCTACTTACATTTTGTATTTTCGATAACTAATAATTTATATAAAAATGTACGATTAATAATACATTATACATTTATTAAAAATTATACATTTATGATTATAAAAAAATTATACATTTATGATTATACATAACAATTCAAGCGATCAAAATAAAAATATAAAAATAATAATAAAAATTATGCAGGTGGCCAAAATTCTGCTATATCCTTCAAAATTTCTTCAAATGGATCCCGACCGTTTAATTTACTCCACCACATAAATTCTGACAAATAAGAATCTAAGAAGTTTCTCTTAGTCCCTCTACGTTTCTTGTTGCCCCATTTAGCACTTCCCCACATCCTCTCAACATTTTATCACACGGATTTCACCAAATATAATTCTTAAAATATCTAATTAGAGAATTTCACACAAATACCTAACGTATATGATTTCATACCTTTTTTATCTGCACTCTGCAGTATATCAGTATATTATACATTAGTGGCGGGCATCAACTAAACTTGAGTGGCGGGGGAATTGCCTTCCTGGCGGGGGTCAACTAGACCAGTACCCAATATTATGTACACAAAATAATACAAATTTATTATAGACGTGCCACGTCTTATATGTACCTATACTTAGTATACTATATACTGCTCCATAAATATTAAACCTATAGCTAATAAATTATAATATCTTTTTTATAGATGTATTATGTAGAGATGGCTGAGTACCCCCGGCGTCAGGGGCGTATACAAGGGGGGATGTGGAGGTCTGATCCCCCCATAAGCCTTTTATAAAAATGTGTTCTTAGTATAAGGGAGTTGCAAGGAAACATAAAAGAAATGGATAGGATTTTTGAAAGTTTTTATTTCGTCACACACAAAAATATGATGAAGTAATGACTAATGAGTATAATGACCAATTGGTAATCATACCAATATGATCAATATCATACCTTAATATTTTTTTATATTTATTTCATATAATATGATAAGACTATATAGGAATAACCTATAAATATAATTATTATTTATTTACAAGAATAAAATATGAACGACCGGCTGTCGCCACCCAAGATCTATCTATCTATCTATCTATCTATTCTTTATAGATCTTGGTCGCCACCGCTGCCGGTAATAAGTTATCGCTAATCAGAGTTGGGCATTAGTCGAATAAAAAATTTGTCTTTATTAATTTATTTTTTATTCGATTATTCTAGCGGCACGAAAGCACGACGTCGTTATTTCGGGAAGGTTAGGGTTACTAAAACTAATCTAAAAATAAACAAACAATAAAAATCAATAATTTATCGATATTACGGTGTCATGAGATGTCGATGTGGGCCTATAATTTTATCAGTATTCAGTTGTGATTTAATATTTTAGATACCTAGTATCTATTTAATAAAATATTTTGTGATTATTTATTAAACAATAAACATGCAGTAATACTCTATTACTCACACACACACTACACACAAATAATAACTGTTTGAAAGACAATTAAATAACATCAATTTATTATTTTTAAGGTATTAATTATTATTTATTTTTTATTACTGATGGGTAACTACTGTTCTTAAAAATACAATATACTATATGGAAATACTGTATAAGGTATAAACACTATGATCTATAATTTAATTTTGGTTTGGAAAAAAATAAAGTARGTACCTACGCTAACATTGTTAAACTTAATAAAAAGTCTTATTTTAATGTGTATTAATTTTTAACTTAACTGAGTTAAACAAAAATTAAATTTACTTGTCTATAATATTAGCCATTTTGTATTTAGGTACATTTTTACTCGGCCAGTAAGTTTTATGATTACTCGATACCCTGTTTTGAAAAAAATTCTACCCGTAATATCTCTAATATTATGCAATTATTGTATTATATATAAATATTCAATATATCATCGTATAGAATGAATATTGAATAGTATGTCAGTATGTGTTCATCTCATTACTATTTCCATGCACATAACCATATTCATCGATTAATCAGTACCTAGAGTGTTTTTGATACAACTACCTACATAAATGATAAATATTCCTTACCTCCATCTCGTGCATTACCCTGGTCAACGCTTTTGTCGAATCCCTATCCAACCATTTCTTCAAAAGTGCCTTTTCTACAATGGCATTTCTGCGCTTCAAAATCTTRTGTTTTAAAATTTCGTCTTTTTCGTGTTGTCTGGCTTCTCTAAATGCTAATAACTTTAGTTTGTCTTCATGTCCTTTCTTTCGTTTATTCTAAAAAAAAAATAAACTGTTTTGCATATGGCACTATATCCAGAAGTAGGCCCGAAGGCATAGTTCGGACGCCTGTATGACAGGATTTCTAATTGGGCACCCGTAGGTTTCTGCCATGTCCGGACGGGGGATGGCGGCCTCTCCCTCCAGACACTGTGACTACCCGAAGAGAGGTGCCAACACTGCCAACCATGACCGAGGTTCAAATTAAAAAACAATTGGCTAATAAATTATGTTTTTATCGTAATTTGTAATGACGCCAAGTTTGTGCATTATATATATATATATATTTGTTACTTGTACAGTTGTACGTTATAATCACAAACTTTAATATCCCTATGGCCTATTTGATTTTCTGTTAAATTTAATTCTGTCATATTTTAATTGTAAGTTGTGACTATATTAATATATTATAATATAATATCTTTTATAGGTTAACACTTAGAAATGTCTAATTTTATAAATAATTGCCTAATATATATATATATATATAAATAGGCATGTACAACAAAATATAAATCGCAAAGCATGTATACTATAACGTGACCATAATTTTTTTTTCTTCAAAGCGGGACACCTGTACATTTTAATAAAAAAACCATATAATTTTGCGTAAAATAACAATTTTTTTTATTGAAAAAAAAACATTAATAATTGTTTCTATAAAAAATGACAACAGAAAAACGCAGATAAAATATTAATCATAATAGATTCCCAAAAAATCTATAAACTATGGGTTTTAGTGTTTTATTTTTAGAATATACGGGCAGGACCCTTTTGTACATAACAGAGACTGCAGGTATATAATAGTTTTCAAAAAAACAGAGAACGAGAGAAGAAAAACATATACCTACATACATGAGTTATAGAGAAGGATACATGAAAATGTTTAAGTGTGATATAACAAAGTGAATAATATTAATAAATGAGTAATAATAATAAGACACAATAATAATGAAATATATTTAACTGCTAGCTAAAAAAGAGAAAAGTGGGGTCTAATTGGCATTATGCATTATACGTTTAATAAACTCGTTTTGCAAGTAGTTGGTAGAACAAAAAAGAACATGAAATGTAGTGATGAAACGAGTGGTGCGTATAGGTACTTAAAAGTTAACTGAGGAAAGTAACGTTGGGGAATCAACTTTACCATCTAACAGCCCTTTTAAGAACTTGCCACCCATTATACGCCTGCGCTCTGCCAGTGATGCTAAATCAAGTTGAATGGCAACAGGGGAGTAATCATGTGATGGACATTTGATGCCCAAAAAGTAGCTGGTGAATCGCAAGAACCTGCGCTGTATCCTTTCAACCTGACATGCATTTTCGGAAGTATGGGGATCCCAAATAATAGAACCATATTCAACAATTGTTTTGACTAATGAACAATATAAAGTTTTCAATGACGAAGTTATTCGTTATTAATCCTTTGAAAATCTCATTGTTATGCCCAAAACTCTTAGAGCTTTACAATAAACCAGTTCAATATGAAGACCCGGGTCAAGGCTACTGGATAGTTTGAATCCAAGATCCATCACAAATCCATCACAACGAGAAATAACTGAATCATGGATAAGATATGAGAACGCTACAGGGGAGCGGGTCCTAGTAACTGTCATGGCTTTATACTTAACTAGTTTCAGTGACAAACCTAATTTATCAAAAAGAGTGACAAATCTACCTAAGTCACTTTGCACTTTTGCAGTTTAAGACAGTCTTCCAAGCAGTTTATTTGCATAAAAAGTTTGATGTCGTCCGCGAAACAAAGAACCTGACAATGGTGTAGAGCTTTACTAAGACTGTTAATAAAGATAGAAAATAGTAACGGAGACAGGTGTTCACCTTGAGGTACACTAGAGGGGATAAAGAACACATTGGAAGGTTAGGTTACAGTATATGTAAAATATGCAGGTATACATATACCGTAAACTGTATAAGTACAGTATAAAAGTATGATTGTAATATGTGATTAATAAATACCTACTTCAAGTTGACTTTTTTGAAAGCCGGACATTTTTAGGTTCTTTGGGAACAGCGGGACACTTATCTCGAAAGCTGATCTGTCCCGCCAAAAGCGGGACGTATGGTCACGTTATGTATACAGTATAGTACTCTATACAGAAACGTCAAACGTATATGGCTGCCAACTAACTATAAAACTTCTTGCACAGTCGCACATATGTATTGTATACAATTTGTTTTACATTTACAAGATTTTATAATTAATTCATATATACCAATATAGTGGTGGCCCATGATTCAGACATAGCTTTGGATGTAGCATACCGTTCGTCTTTTAATTGTTTTCTCTTCTCAATTGCAGCTTTATCCTCGTCCTTTTTGGTTAAAATCTTTTTAAGTCGTGTCCATTCATTTTTTGGGATTAAAAGAGCACTTGTTTTTTTATTATTATTTACCACTTTTATAGATTGCATTTTATTTTCTATCGACCAACAAAAATATAATATATAATTTTAGTCAATTATTTTAATAGTATCTACCTATACAATTCATAAGAATATAATGCAAAGACAAAGTTTGTTTCCAATAAYTACGGAGAATAAATAACTTATGAAATGTTAACAAACATATTGTTATAGATTTAAATGATTCGTAACCAAGGGTTGACAACAATATGAAATCGAATTGAATTTTTTTTTTTTTATCTTAATTTTGATAGTCAATAATATTATTAGTTTTTTTTTTATTTCAGTTTAAAATAATAATATAATAGATATTATTGTAATTAAACCACAGAATAGATTAAAGAATAGATTAGATCAGAATGGAAACTCTGGATGCCCGAATTTTAATCCGCCATATTGAAAGGGCTCATCAGTTTCCCTAGATAGTTTTTTTTTTTATTATCATTAATAATAAAACGTTCCTAGCCTATGACTATCTACATCTATGGACATAATAATAAACATAATATTTTGGCTATTTTAAATAGTTAAATATAAATAAAAAATATTAGTAATTGAACAAATGTAAACAGATAAACAGATGAGTGAACTAAGTATAAGGTAATTACATGATTACAATAACTAATAAAAAATTATATAAACATAACCGTGTACAGATGGAGACTGAAGTTGAGTTTAACCATGCTAATAAGTAATAACTAATAAGTATATGGATCATTGTCAAAGGCAATTAATATTACTTTCCAATTTTCCATAGATTTCCGAAGAATTACCTGCTGTTATATGCCCACCGCTATAGAGACTATATAGAGATGCTTGTTTTACAGAATATAATAACGCCTGTATGTATAGGCGTCTTATCTTAGATATTTTGCTTATGCGCGACAAGACTAGGTATAGTATCAGCCCTGTCGGCAATTTAGTCTTGAACCCGACTCATTCGAGTTAAGTAGTGTGCTTGTAGTATAAATTACATTTTTAAAACTAATAAAGTATAATATTCTCCTTCAAGTTTAATACGTGTATTCTTTTTATTAATAATCTATTAAACAACATTTGATTATCACCCGCTACACAGAGAATGGTTTCAACAAATTGTCGTCTTCGGGTACAACCAGATGAGACACAATATAAAATATAATAGAACTAGAACATCACAGGTATACACGGTGACGTTTTTAAAACTACGAAAAATTACATTAAGTTATTTACATTAAATTTTAATACATAAACATTAAATCTTAGTAAAATGAATAAGGCTTGTTGTACTAAATGGTATACAATATGGTACAAATAATATTGTGTGTTTAATGTTTATATATGGTGATGTTAGACTTTGAATGCTTATAAAAAAAAATTGTGACTATGAATTTATTTTATTTTTCAACTGCTATTGTAAAAATATCTTAGGAGCCTTGTATTATACATTTTCAAGCTTTTCTGCCTAACAAATAAATTTTTATTGATATTAATTTTAAAAAAAACTAATAATGATCGAAAATTTCAAATGCCTATGAATAATTCAACTTAAGTCGAAAATTTTTGAAAATTGCATGGTGGATAGAATATACTTATATAAACATTCGGTGAAAATTTCATGTATCTATGGTCGTTTGTTTTAAAGTTACATCAAAAACCAAAATCGATTTTGTTGAAAAATGAGTGTGCATAAAATTTCCCGTTTTTCCCTTAATTTTTAGTTTGTTTTTCTCGATTATTTAGAAAAGTATAAAGCATTTTTTACTTTTGACCCCCCAAAGTACCAACTTGATTCACTTTCTGATCGAACGAGGTACTGAAGTCAAAAATCGAAGCACTCTTACTGCCCCAAAACGTGATGACAATGACAGACACACACAAAAAAAAAAAAAACACATCATGGTAAAATCAATACATTCATCGCTCCGCTCAGAATCTAAAATTATATATAACATAAAATAAAATTAATAATTATAAACGTATAACAGTAGTCTGTGTTCGCATTTTTATTTGAAAAAACGCGCGAGGTATACTATTATAATTCTTATCAGTACAAATTATATGATTAAATATTTCAGATAATGAGATAAGTGTTTATCACTCCCCGTTAAATTTCCGTCTGTATTTAAAATTTTAAATTTCCTTTATAGTTGACAGTCCATTGAAGGATGTATGTGCATAATTTAACTATTTTGAGAACATATTTTTGTCCGAGAAATATAATATTAATAGTCACATGAAAATCTATAATTTTAAATGAATAAAGTTGAAAGTAACAATTTTTTATAGTTAATAACCATAAATAATATCATTGACTGTAATATGTAAGTACCTATATTTAATTGGTTAGGTTATTATTTATTAAAAGATGTCCCACAACATAAATAATATTTAATTAATGTCAGTGTCACAGATGATGGATCAACACGTACCGATTGTCAGGAAATTAGCAGAGGACGTAGTAAATAGAATTGCTGCCGGCGAAGTGATCCAAAGGCCAGCTAACGCTTTAAAAGAACTTTTAGAAAACAGGTACTTTAAGTTTTATGCTATTTTATGTTTTGGATAAAATATTTCCTTGAATTTGATTTACGTTAACTATGCATCATTATATTGCTGAAAAAAGTATTGTATGAACAAGTATTTTGTATACTATATTTTATATAAATACATTAATAATGTACATTAGTAATATGACTATGTTTAAAATTTTGGATAATATATTTTTATTCATCAAAGTTTATATTAGATTATCCATTCATCATCTGTACTTTTATTTTCAGCTTGGATGCTAAATCTACAAATATTCAAATTACATTAAAAAATGGAGGTTTAAAATTGCTTCAGGTAAAAAATTAGTTTTTTATTTTAATAATTAATATTAATAATTATTATTTAATAACTTATTTTGTTATTTAGATACAAGATAATGGTACTGGTATTCGCCTCGAGGATTTGGGTATTGTGTGTGAACGATTCACTACTAGTAAGTTACAGCAATTTGAAGATTTGACTAAAATATCTACTTATGGATTTCGAGGTGAAGCATTAGCTAGTATTAGTCACGTTGCTCATTTGACAATCACTACAAAAACTAATGAAGCTGTTTGTGCTTATAAGTAATAGTTATTACTATTTTTTAATACCATATAACAAAGGTTTTATTTTTTAGTGATTAAACAATATATTTTTATTTTTATAGAGGAGTGTATAAGGATGGTAAATTAAAAGCTCCACCTAAATCTTGTGCTGGTAATGTTGGAACCATAATCACTGTTGAAGATTTGTTCCATAATATAGCTACTAGGAAAAAATCAATGAAAAGTTTTAATGAAGAACATTTGAAAGTTGTCGAAGTTGTAAGTTAGAAAACTATTTAGTAAGATCATAATATTTAATTTATTTTGTCCAAGTGATATAATTTATTTTTATTTTATCTAATTTATTTCATAGGTATTTTTTACTTAAAATTAATTTAAACAAAAATATATCATTATTATTAATTAATTTATACATAAATAATATCAATAATAATTAAACATTGTCCCACTAGAGAACATGCCGCGCGAAAATGAAAACTAGTTGGTTTTGCGCATCCTCCGTCAAAATCTTTATAGATTGACTGATCATAGCAGTTTTGGCAGACATTTACAGCGGCATGATGACCGTAGGGCTACTGCTTGATGTCTACGCTGTGGCTGGCAGCCGATACGTGTGGAGGGTATGTGACTACCCGGAAGCGGTGTAGCTCATTAGTCATTCTACATGCTCAAACCCGGCATGTTCTCTCATGGGACAGAGTAAAATAACTGATATAAATGTTTTAATATTTCAAAATGCAATAATAATGTTTAAAGGTGAGTCGTTATGCAATACACAATCCTTTGGTTGGGTTTACAGTTAAAAAACAAGGTGAATTGTTGACTGAAGTAAAAACAAATCAAAGTTCTACTCATATTGATAATATTCAAGCTATTTACGGCTCAACGATATCTAGGTAATGGATAACTGATAATGTGTTTCTTTATAATGGATTTTATTTATATTTTATTTTATTTTCAGAGCTTTGTTAGAAGTAAATGATTATTGTAATATTCTTAAAGTTAAAATTAAAGGCTATGTATCAAATCCAAATTTTTCAGCAAAGAAACAAATTTTTATATTATTTATAAATGATCGTTTAGTTGATTCCCAAGGTAAATCTACATAATATAATATATTATACATATATTACATAATATATATACACTTTTATTTCTTAATTCATTAGATTTTTTTATTAGGATTGAGAAAAGCTGTGGATCAAGTTTACAGCATTTATTTAGCTAAAGGATCACATCCATTCATATACTTAAGTTTAAAACTGGATCCAATGAATGTTGATGTCAATGTACATCCGACAAAACATGAAGTTCATTTTTTACATGAGGATAAAGTTATTGATAAAGTCATTGATGCGATTCAAGATAAACTTTCTGGTACTAATACATCAAGAACATTCTATACTCAAGTAAATTTATATTAACTCTTTATTATCTATACAAGGTGATTCTTTTATCAAACAACACTCATTATTTAAAAAAGTATTGAATATTTTCAAAATATTTTTTTACATAGTTTCAAGTTATTAAAAAACCAACGTTTTTATTAGAAAAATATTTTTTTTTAAATATTTTTTATCCTTATCTTTTTTAAGTTTTTTGAATAGAGTTTTAATTTCATATTCCAAAGCAGAATATTATTCTAAGTATTTTTATTCATAAAAATCGAATTTAGGACGAGTAGTTTATAAGTTATAAGTATTTAAAGTTTAGACAAGCAGAGTAGTGGTCAAACGTTTTGCGGGGTAACCACTCCACCAACTCATAAACTACCCGTCCTAAATTCGATTTTTATGAATCAAAATACTTTTAAAAAAATAGTCTTCTTTGAAATATGAAATTAAAACTATGTTGTCATTCAAAAAAGTAAAAAACTTAAAAATTATAAGGATAAAAAATATTTAAAAATATAATTTTTTAATAAAAACGTTGGTTTTTTAATAACTTGAAACTATGTAAAAAAATATTTTGAAAAAGTCAATACTTTTTTAAATAATGAGTGTTGTTTGATACTTAGAAATAATGTTGACTCCTTGGTTGACCAAGTAGTTTCTTTAGAAATGAAACAACTAAATTCAGTTTCAAATGATGATGCATTTTCGGAATTTATTGACCGTCAGTCTCGATCTAAAAATATTGTTTTATTTAATGTTCGCGGGACGATTGACAATAACGTAAATAAATCCTATATTTTGACTGTTAATCTCATTTTACATAATCTTGGTGTTGATATCAAACTAGTTATTGTACAACGCTTAGGAAAGCCATACATTAATTGCCGTCTGATTAAAATTACGTTACCATCTATCTCTGATGTTTATAAAATTCTCGGTTCTACACGTAAACTTAAATTTGATCATACGTAATAGTGATATTAAAATAACAAGTGATAAAACACTGAAGCAACGTCAACATTTTAAAGATCTACGTATTCAACTCAATAATCTTCTTTCAAGTGGTGAAAAAGATCTGACAATTAAGTACATCAAGGGATGTCCATCTATTGTTTCTACTACAGTTCAAAAAAACTAATAAAGAAGTCAGTGCTATCATTGTATTATCAAAATGTAAGAAGTATAGTCTCTAAAATGGATAAACTTTTCCCTATAGTTAATACTTATTTTTTCAATATAATTTAATTTTCTGAGACATGGCTTTCTAGTAATATATCTAATTCTGAGCTTAACTTTAATAATTATACAGTTTATAGATGTGATAGGTCTTTGTCTAATATTAATTGTAATGTTGGTGGTAGAGTTTTAATTGCAGTTGATTCTAATTTAAAAAGTAAAATATTAAATGTATCTATTAAAAGTGTCGAGCATTTATTTGTTCATATACAATTAAGATCGACTACGTATATACTTTGCTGTGTCTATATTCCACCTCGTTCGAATATCATTATGTATGAAAATTTTTTTTTTTGCTCTTAATGAAATTTATCAAAATAATCATAATTCTAAAATTATTATATTAGGTGATTTTAATTTACCATCRTTAATTTGGTCTAATACTTCCTTACCTGTTAATTGTAATTCTAATATTGAATCTTATTTTATTGGTATRTTATCTCATCTAAATTTAAATCAATATAATTTTATTCGTAATCACAATAATGTTATTTTAGATTTAGTATTAAGTTAATTAATCTCTGATCAGGTTTTTAATTCAACAGACATTAATATTCTTATTAATCAATTATATTCAATCATATATAAAGCAGTCGATAATTTTGTTCCATTAAAATTTATATTCCAAAACTCTTTCCCTACTTGGTATTCTAAAAAGCTTAAGTTGTTAATAAGAGAAAAAAAAATTGCTCATTTAGCCTACAAACAAAATAACAATATAATTGATTACAACCATTTTTCTTAGCTGCGAGCTAAATGCAAAAGTCTAGCAAAACTTGATTATTACAACTACACCATTAAATCTCAACAATCTATTAAACATAATCCTAAAGAATTTGGAAATTTGTAAATAACAGAAGAGATAAAAATGCTTTACCTAAAAATTAAAATTGTCAATTTTGATTCTGTTTCTGCTAATAATGGTCAAGACATTGTTAACCTTTTTGCATCTTATTTTTCCAAGGCCTATTGTAATTCTACTCATACTAATTTTCGAAGTAATAAATTAAATGATAAAATTATTAATTCAACCTTTTCGTTTAATAAATTAAAGTTTACTGAAATAGATGTATTTAATTTAATTTCTAGCCTACCTCTTATATCAAGTAGTGGACCTGATGGTATTCCTCCTATTTTCCTTTATAATTGTAGATTTGTTTTAACTCCAATTTTAACTATTATTTTCAATACCTCTCTTAATATAGGTATTTTTCCTGAGTTCTGGAAAACTTCTTTTGTTTCCCCAGTCTTTAAGAAAGGTGATCCGTCATCAATTCCAAATTATAGACCTATCTCTAAGCTATCTGCTATTCCTAAACTATTTTCTAATTTAATTTCATCTAAATTAACATCATATTGTTCCCCATACCTTTTTCAAAATTAACATGGCTTTATATCTAAACGTTCATCATGCACTAATGTATCTCTAGTAAAAAATTTAATACTTAACTCATTTAACTCTAATTCACAAACTGATATTATTTATACAGAATTCTCGAAAGCTTTTGATCGTGATAATCTTGAAATATTGTTCTATAAATTACAGTATTTTGGATTTTCTGATCCTTTGCTTTCCTGGTTTCGCTCCTTTCTAACTAAGCGTTTCCAGATAGTTAAATATCAAAATTTTTGCTCTCCCAAATTTAATGTTCCATCTGGTGTCCCCCAAGGCGACCACTTGTCAACTCTCCTTTTTTATATTTTTATTAATGATTTACCAGATGTTATTAAAAATTCTGAAATTTTTTTATTTGCTGACGATACCAAGCTTTTAAAAGTAATAAAAGATACTCAAAATTCTACTGACTTACAAAYGGATTTAAACAACTTACAAAATTGGTGTGAAAGTAATGATCTATTTTTAAATATTGAAAAATGTAAGGTTATGCGTTTTAATTTAATCAAGAACCCAATTATTTTTAATTATTCTATTTCTAATTTTAATCTTGAACTTGTCTCTAATTTTAAAGATCTTGGGATAATATTTGATTCTAAGCTAAATTTCTCTTATCACACTGGATTTATTAAAAATAAAGCAATGCGTATTCTTGGTTTCATCAAACGTTCTTGTAAAGATTTTTGTGATCCTTTTGTTTTAAAAATTCTTCATTAATCTTTAGTTTGTTCGAACCTTGATTATTGTCCATTAATTTGGATAAACAATACGTCTAAACAAAATGATAGTATTGAAGCTGTGCAAAATAACTTCTTGTGATTTATGTCTTTTAAATTTAACATACATAGGCCACCACATGGTTCATACAATAATATTTTAAATTATTTAAATCTTATTCCACTTAAAACTGGACGTTTACAGCTGATCTCGAAATTTCTTCATAAATTAATTAATGGCTTAATCGATTGTCCTKMTTTACTTTATTTGATCAAMTTTAAAATCAATTCCTTTAATACCAGAAATCCTGAACTTTTTTATCCTATCCATTCTGATAAAAACTATATATTAAATAGTCCTGCAAATCAGTAAATGATTGCTGGAAATACTTATACTTTAAATTTTAACTAGTTAAGTTAATTTTGTATTGTCTTACTTTATCTCTATTATTATATTGTTTCCTGGATAACACATAGTTTTGTAATTATTATTCATATTAATTTTTGTATATTTCTCATTGTATACTTWACTAATTAATAATTATCATAATTGTAAACCCTACTGCTGTAATTTAAACCATTTGTTTAAGGACTTTGTCCGTTTAATTATTATAAGTAAATAAATCAATCACCCTGTATAATCCTAAAATATAAGTTTTTAATTTTTTTTTTAGACAAGGTTGCCAATKTCTAATGATACATTGATAGATAAGTCTGATGAAAAAATAGAAATTAAAGAAAATCAAAAATTAAAAATAATAAATTCCACCAATGTTTCACAAAATAAAATGGTAAGAACAGATTGTGCTGAACAAAAAATTGACAAGTTCTTAAACACAAGTAATAGTAGCAATAGGACATTAGTGTTACCGAAATCAAAAACCAATGATGTTATTACCCGGTGAGTACTAATGGTTTTATTAAATATATTTTTTTTATATATATTAAAAAACATTTTGATGTTTCAAATGAAAAATAAATATTAATAATTTAGACGAGAAATTAAGCTGACTAGTGTATTATCTTTACGTAAAGAAATTGAAAACTCCTGTAGTGAAACCTTACAGGCAATTTTTCAGAATCATAAGTATGTTGGTGCCGCTTCTCCTACCTGGTCATTATTTCAGCATGATACAAACCTATACATTTGTAATTCTAATAATGTATTGTAAGTTTAAATATTAATGTATATATATTGATGTTAAAGTAACTACTATTATTTTGATTTTTAGACAAGAAATGTTTTATCAAATTATGATATACGAGTTTGGAAATTTTGGTGTTATAAAATTTTCAGTAAGTTCAGTTACGATTTAATACATCTCAGTGTTAACTATAATTATCTATTACATGCATTATGTTTTATACACATAGAATGCATTATCCATTTATGAGTTGATAATGATTGCATTAGAACTATCAGAATCTGGATATCAAACAAGTGAGGATAAACCGAAAGAAGAATTAGCTCATGATGCTGCTGAGATATTGGCATCTAGAGCTCCAATGTTAAATGACTATTTTTCTATTGAAATTGATATGGACGGAAATATTTTGTCAATACCTTTATTGTTAGGTTTGTGTGGTGATATTAGTTATAAATAATTTTTAGTAACAGTAATGTTTGTTTTCAGAGGGATTCCTTCCAGATTTAGACGGACTACCCTTATATTTATTACGTTTGGCTAGTGAAGTTGATTGGTCCAGCGAAAAGCAATGTTTTCTTAGTTTTTGTCGTGAAACAGCTAGATTTTATGTATTACATCCATGGAAACAACAATGTGGTAACAGTGATGATATATCAGTAAGTAAGAACAATGTTATAAAGGTCAATTAATTTTATAATAAATATCTTTTAAGGATGCTGCGCCTGATAGAAATTGGACTTGGAGTTTAGAACATGTGTTATATCCATCTTTAAGAAAATCATTTCAGCCTCCAAGACATTTTTTAGAAGATGGCACGCTATTGCAAATAGCTAGCTTACCTGATATGTACAAAGTATTTGAGCGATGTTAATATATTTATAGCATAAGAATTTATTTATTTTATTTAAATATAAGTTTTAAACGTTAGATTTTGGTAAAAATATTATTAATTTATTGTTTAAATGAACTATTTTTGGTTCCTATAAAGAAAATAATATGTACTATATTTAACAAAATTAAACAAGAAAAATATTAATTATAATAAAATTAATTATAATTTTATTAATAGTAATCAAGTTTAAATGCTGTATTAATAAGTAATATAAGAATTAGTTTTTAAAAATGCAGAACATTGGTTATGATTTTTAAATAAATTGTTAATAGATACATGGAATATTTTTCATATTTATTTATTATTTTTATAAGGGCTTTTATATAGGGTTTATCCCAATTTAAAATATTCCTTGATTATGATAATTATATTATAATCATAGACAATAGACATATTGTTAAAAAAGCTTATTTTTAGAAAGATAAATAGTTATTCATTTTCTAGCCTCATATGATTGCTAKATCGTTAGTTTGGCAGTGTGAAATTATAAATTGCTCCTTTTTACAAGTTGGTGTGAAACTTGTTAACATGTGTGATACATTGGAATCACTGAGTGCGAAAAAAATACAAGAACCTACTTTAGAGGTGATAAGATTTTTTAGAAAAGTTAGCTTACGATAGTGGAAATTATCACATATTGAGCTAGTGATGTAGTGTTTTATACATTAAGCACTGGAATATAGTCGTGAGGATAACAGTCAGCTTTTAATTTATGTTTCTAAAAACTTAAGACCTTTCTTTGAGTTATTTATATTATTATTTTTATATTATTTATACTGTTGTCTATACCGTGTGGTTTTCTAACAACTAAGTCATATTAATATATTGGTACAGCCAAGGTAAAGTAGAGAGAGTATAGTCAGTGATGTAGTTGTAATTTTTTTTGTGAGTATACGCTTAAATGAGCTTGATATATAAACGTGGGAGGACAAAGTTCTCCCCTATATATATTACTATATTGTATGATATAATATATGAGGGAGTTTTTCAGTGTGACARTCTATTTTTTTTTACAAAATCAAGAGTTCTGTAAGCTCTGCACATGATGTGATTATATTTTATTAATTTAAGAACGAGTCGAAATGCTAGGAAGAAAGACAAAATCCAAGTCTTGAATGTTGTCAACTGAAGACATTCTGTATTGTTGATAAAGTAAGCGAATATTATGAATATAATAGAATGACGAATGACGATATAGATCATGGATTGGCACGTATCAATGTTAAAGGACAAATCGAGGAATTCGCTCTATTTGACAAATTCAAGTCATTTTGAAGAGCTTTACATTTAACAATGGTGTTAGTTTTAATAGAAAGCTTTACTTATATTATCTGCAAAAATAATAGACGACAGAGATAGATAACGGAGGACTTGACCACTTGACAATAATTATAAATATTTAAAAAAGGATTAGTGATAGGTTAGTGACTACCTTGTGGAATATGTCAAAAGCGACTGCAAAAAATCAGATTTTGTTAGGATAAATTATTTGATTGTATGAATCAGATAATTAAAATATAGGTTCATTTTTACACTTTTAAAGTATTTTACCATTCAATAAAAGTTATTAGCTATTTTATAAGAAATTCTGGTATTTTCAGTAATCAGTTTAATAATATAGTATTGTAAAAGTCTCCTTTTCCACGTAAAACAGTTGTTCAACATTAAACAATAATACACATAATTCCATGTCAGTATGTCATGATCCCTAGCAAATTACTTTTAATATTTTATATAATATTATGTTGTATAATAAACTGTTGATAAAATTGACTACATTTAACTCCTTAAAAATGTATGACCTTCACAGTATTACAATTTACAACTGTGATAAAAAGTTGTACAATCCAAATAAAACTTTGGTAAAATAGTCGCATAAGTTATGTTTTTTTCAGGCAGTATCCACACATCACGTAGCAAGTGCAAAAATGTTGTCCATGTAACGCCCGCCGACAAGGTCACTAGCTTTAGTAGTGTACCTACTTAGTCTGTAACCACGGTATATCCATACGTTCAAATTATTCACTTATATTCCAAACACTGTTGATAAAATATTAAAATAATCACCGTACAACTTAGGTATATTACATAGTATATCAATGTATAAAACTATAAAAGTCCATGATTAAATGGTTAATCATAAGTGGTAATAATACAGGCATGTAGTAGATGGGGACGGTTATCGTTTACTCTTTAGCATTTATTTTACTAACTACGTATTATTTTTATTACTCATTAGTCATTACATTGAAATTGAAGGAATGCCTTAATGATTAGGTATCTTAATATGATTTATTAAATAGTGCAAAATCAAAATATTTTGACGTTTTCAATATTTTAGTTGACCCATATCAAATTGATAGYAATAGAAACTCATATTTTTAAATAGTAATACTAAAGTTTCATTAGATATCAACAATAATTTGTTAACTGTTTATTTGAATTTCGTTTGTATAATTGTGTTTGTTTTATTTCTCACGTACTCAAACATTTCAAATAAATATTTTACAATAAAAGTTAGTCATTAATTATTATTTTAATTTCAATAGCAATTAATAACTAATGAACAAAAATTAATAAAACTTAGAATAGGAAAGTTAATCACAATAATAATAATATTATTATAATAGTATTAAAAATAACCAATAATTACAATATTACTTCATTAGTCATTAGGTATGAATTATACTATTAAACGAAAAATATATTGCGTATGGAAATAAAACTATTATAATGTAGTGTCGTATAATGTATATAGGTATTCGTAATATTAAAAAGAATATCTATAATTAATTATATAATATATTTGTAATTTGTAATTTGTGGTAATTGATAAATATAAATTTACATTTGGTTGATTTTTGTCGATGTAATACCAGAGCTATTGTTAGACAAATACAAAATGGATATTTAATTTGTCATTGGTATTATCATACAGGTGCGCGTGTCTAAAATAAAGTAATTAAATTATCATGAATGATTTGTAACGATTTATTTTTACGTAATACGTGAATCAAACATCAAGCAAAATGACATAGTGTGTAGTGGTCTCGGTAGATTAGAATTCAATTGGTGAACATATATAACAACTTTACAAGGTGAAGCTACATGGGAATATCGTCAAGTTGTATGACAATATTCATTCATATATTCTGCTCGTTAGAATCAGACCAATGCCGTCGTAACTATAGCATTGGGTACTTTTAATTTTAATTTTATTACGTTAGTACTTAGGCCATACCTGGCATACCTATATGATTGGTTAGGTTCCCTACGTCTGTTATTCGAAAGAATTAATGATTTTACTCGGATCAGCATAATATACATATTATATTATCGATGGGAAAACAAACAAGTTTATCGTTGTATCGTATTTCATGGTGCTTACGGTAGTGTAATATTATTTAAATATTAGTAAATAAGTATTTTCGGAAGGGGCTTTATTATAATGGAATGCTCACYTGTTACCTGTTCATAGTATAAAATAACAAAAGTAAACTTTTTATTAGGATACAAATTCTTTGACACTCCAATATGGGTGTTCTAACACAATATAATTGTTAGACGTTCCAAACTCAAAACTACTAAATTTTTATTCTATTCATTAAACATCTACAAAGTAGGTACAAGGCTACAACTATGTCTACAAAAATTACAATATATTATAATCGATGTTTATCTATGTATAATTTACCATTTAGTATCTATTTTTTTCTTATGGAGCGTTTGAGAATATTATTGAGTGAAATCTACGAAATCAATAGGTATATATTGTTAAAATAATATAATTTAATTAATTGAGGAAAAAAAATTATCTATACACGGTATACCTATACGGCTAGATGGTCTATATAATGAATGCCACATTAAGACATTTTGTACAGATGAGGTGCTAAAACTGCTAAAAGAATTTGGTACCCCTGTAAGGGCCTTATCCATGGCAAATATGGGAGATAGATCCTCAAATCCTTTTAGTTTTTGAGCATAGAAAGGAATATTTGTTTTACTGTAAAAAGGTGTGGTTTAAAAAAATAATTGTTTAGTAATTTCATGAACCCACCCTCGCAAAGATATTATTCAGTATATACACTTAAGCCCTGATTTTAATTTATCATATAAATTGTTTTTTTACATATTTATAGGTACTTAATTTCTTCATGGATCATCAAAATAAAACTTAATTAAATTAAATTATAGAAACTAAATAAGAAAATGAATAATATTTTTTTTAATATGGGTAGGTACGTTATATTTATAAAATGATTAGTTTGTTGTCTTTCACTAAGTTTGATTATGATTTTGATATCCGCTTAACTTTTTTTTGCTGGTCATATTTAAAATTATTTAAAATGAACATTTTAATAAATATATAATTAACAGCACTAAGTAGTGAAAGAAGTAATAATATTAATTTCATTGGCATCATTCACAAACGCTGTGATTATACCTAATRATAATTTATTTATTGTACTTGTGTAGTAGGCTCACGATACCAAAATACACTGTATTCATGTTTATTATATATATGTAATATGTTTTATTTATTTTAATTTATTATAAATAACTTATGTTTATTGAATCACAATAAGTTTTTTAATAAAGGATTAAGAATTAAGATTATTTGGTAGGTTTATAATTATTCTTTATCGTTGAAAGAGTGATAGGTTTAAAATTTAAATGCATTATTATTTAGTTGTTTAAATTTCAAACAGCATAATAATTGTATATTATATATTATAAAATTCTGTTATTAAAATAATTTCAATTTTAAAAGTTTTTGTAATGTTCCCAAATTTCTAACCACAAAATTCCGGATTCCTCTAAATATGGCCTTGGGCCTAATCCATCACAGATATTTATGCGCAGCAGACTGAAGAGGATCAGTACAATACAACATAAAGTGATAATGTAGTGCTGGTCCCCGACATCATGAGCTTTAGTTTATATGCTTTGTTATTTATTAAAAAATATAAGTATAAACTGTAAAGAAAGAATACCTTGTATATTGTTCGGGTCTAGTTTCTCAATTT